ATACTCTAGAGCAGGTAATGCAGGGACTTCAGACATCGGGGGTACTACCGGCCCAGCCGGTTGGAGTTGCTTAGGCCCAGGTGGATCCCGTTATGAGTTATGAGGAGCAGAAGAGACTAGAGAGATTTGGGAGGCTCCAACCTCCATCCTTTAGTGGGGTTGAGCCAGAGGATGTTCATGACTTCTTGGATAGGTGCCAGCGGATTCTTCGCACGATGGGTATTCTAGAGACTAGTGGATTCTCCTTTACTACTTTTCAGCTATCAGGGGCTGCCTTCAGATGGTGGCAGGCCTATGAGAGGAACAGGCTAGTCGGTGCTGCACCACTTTTGTGGAATGAGTTCTCCATTCTCTTTCTAGAAAAGTTTGTGTCATCGACCTGCATGGAGGAGTTTCGCAGGCAGTTCGAGCAGCTACGCCAGGAAGGCATGTCTATGACCCAGTATGAGATGAGATTTTCTGAGTTGACTCGTCACGCAGTTTGGTTTATTCCCACTGAGAGGGAGAAAATTAGGGGTTCATTGATGGCCTTAGTTATCAGTTGCATTTTGTTACGACTCGAGAGAATGCGTCAGTACTAAGTTCGATGAGGTGGTTGATATTGCTCGGCATCTAGAGTTGGTCCGTATTCAGGAGCGCAAGAAGAGGGAGGCCAAGAGGCCTCGTGGTTCGGGTGGTTTCACGGTATTCCTTCGGGGGCAGTCCTACCACAGTAGGGGTCATCCTTATAGGCCCGCTCAGATTAAGCATAATCCAAGAGTGGTGAATCTAGTGGCCAATCTATTCCTCTTCCACTTCCCCCGGCTCCCCGACCCAAACCCCACGATCGTCCTACACTTGCTATTCTTGATAGTGATAATAGTTTATTACAATTTACTGAGAGTCAATTTTTGCATAATGTTGGAGCTGGTGAACAATTAAACCATGAATATATGAATGCTCTTTATGGTAATCCAACTATTGATGAAAATAATGATGAAAAAATAGATTTTGATGAAACACAACCGGATGACGATACACCCACTAGTCCTGCTCCTGAAGTTTACCCAACTAATGAAAATCCAAATGATGTCCCGTCTGACCCTCCTGTTACTACCCCTACTTTTTCTAGACAACACCCCAAACGGACAAAAACATCTATTGTTTGACCTTTTTTTACTCAATTAATTCCACAAAATAAGGCTAAATGTAAAACTTCTGGCAAGGAGTTAGCTTTTAAATATTTTGGCGGTCNTTTGACAGTCGGGAGGGGGGAGGGGACATTGAAAAGACACATATTGATACACCCTCAAGATAAAGTCAAATATTTTCGTATGAAAGCCTTGGCCGAGGGGACAAGTACACCTACTCCTAGTCAGGTTGACCCTAGTACCGGGCCTAATCAATTTCAACCGGGAATTAACACAGGTACCGGTGGTATTTTATATTATGATCCAAAAAAAGATCGGGAAGAATTGGCAAAAATGGTCACTGTTATGTGCTTACCCTATAGTTTTCCTTCTAACCCTCACTTTGTGCATTATATTAGAAAAATTTGGAATCCTACTTATAAAGGTTTTTCTCGCACAACCGTAAAGAGCGATGTTTATAAATATAAACATGAATATGAATAATATTTGCGCTATTTATTTACTCATATAAATCGTCGTGTTGCTATTACAACTGATATTGGTAGAAGTGCTAATGACTGTGATTACCTTACTGTTATCAGTCATTGGATTGATGAGGAGTGGATAATGCAAAAGCGCATTATTGCTTATAGAATAATTAATTCACGTCACACAGGGCAGTTTATTGCTGGCACAGTTATAGATATTTGTAGATATTTTGCATTATTTATAAAATCATGACAGTTTCAATGGATAATGCTACTAGTAACACAAATGTTGTAGCCTTGCTTACCACTACACTAAGTCCTGCATTTAGTAACATTTTTCATGTTAGATGTATTTGTCATATTTACCATTTAATTATGGGTGATGGTATGAGAATTTTAAATATTGAAATTGAAAAGGTTAAAATGGCTCTTAACTGGCTTTTTATTCAAACCGTAGAAGTAGACTTAGAGAATATTTTAAAAGATGCGATGAATTTGGCCTAAGAGAAAGAAAGGTTCCTAAAGCTTGTCCAACTAGATGGAATTACATGTATGAAAGTTAAGTTGTTGCATATGAATATAGAAACCCCATAAGCTCAACGTTTAATGCTCATGTAAGTGATGATGATGAGCACCTTACAAATGCGGATTGGGCTAATATTAAAATGCTTGTAGATTTTTTAGAAAAATTTCATATTGGTACAAATGAATTTTCTGGGCAATAGTATCCTACTATTTCTAACTGTTTAGTTTATATTGCAGAACTTGCAAATTTGTTTGCTCATTTTTCAGAGGGTGGCGAAATTTATAAACTTGCTATTGATTCTATGAGAAAAAAGTTTAAATTTTGTTTTCTTATTCCCCCTATTTATGGTGTTGCTGCATAGTTAAATCCTACTATGAAATTAGGAGGTCCTCAATTTTGGTATGAAACTGTTTATAATGGTTTAGCACTTGAAGAAGAGGAGTTGTCTAAACTTCCGGAAGGAATAGCCTTAATTAAAATAAATGCTCAAACTATTTATAATGCTTATCAAGTTGCATTAGATCAAGCTAGACCAAATGTTTCAACTCCTTATTCTTCTGATTCTCAATCATCTAAAAGAACTGCGGGAGTAAGAGCACTTAGTGCTTGGGCCGGGTACA